CATTTGGTCTTCAGCAAAGAAGCCAGACTCTGCCGTGAGCAGCCTCCATGACCACCTGACGAGGCCTCGGTCAGGTCCGGGATTCTGGCGGGTGCCTGTCTCCCGAGCCCGCGTGGACCGCCGCCACGTTGCCTGTACCTGTGGTGGCGGGGCTTCCTGTCCCACACGGATGTGTCACAGCCGGAACCTCTGGGGTTCCCTTCGTTAACCGGGTCCCCCAGTCCCCTGCTGGCACGGCCGTGACGGCTTCTTCAGGCCACGGTGTCACCACCAGCCCGTGTTCACTGAGCACGATGGAGGAGGTCCCCGCTCTGTCTGTTACATGCAAAGTGGCACCTCCGCCAACCTGCGCACCAGACGGAGCCCCTTCCCACCGTGTTCCTTTGGGGGAGGTTTGGTCCAGCGGCCACTTCACGCTTTGGGCAAAGCTCCCTCACATCGAGTCATGTCCTGGGTCCAAGCTGGACCTACCTGACTGGTCTCTGGAGTCGGGGAGGGGACACACCGCCTCCCGGCACAGGGGCCACCCCTACCGGGGCTCCCTGCCCGCTGACGCAGCAACGCCCACGGGGCCCTAGCAAGCCCTCCACAGCCGGACTCGGGTTCCACGCCGGCTACTGGAGTCATGGTGTCCCTTTCAACAGAGAGGAGTGGCCAGCGGGAGCTGGCAGGACACGAAGCTGCCCACGTGCCCTCCACGGTAACGACCACCATGTGCCCCCGACACACATGTCCGCAGTACAGCCACACTGGTGGTGGGCAGTATGACCGTGGATTCACGGTCTGTCGGGGGCCTGGGGACCGATACGGTCTCGGTGGGGAGCCCTTTCTTTGAACGAGCCTCACCCAGGAGCCCGACAGGTGTCAGAGGCAACAAGGTGTGGACGCTTTAGCCACAGCATGGACCGTGCGTGAGGTTGGGGTTCATGCCTTCCCAGCCCCCCACAAGCAAAAGCAGCCCCCCAGGCCTCTTTGAAGAGGTATCTAAAAGCTAATGCTACACCACACGGGTGACAGGGTTCGGGACACGCTACCCCAAAACGTGGCACCTTGGCACGTGAGTATCTCAGGCTGAAGGGGTTAGTGCCAGAAGCAGGAAGGTCTCCGACCCCCCTTCTCCCTGAGGCGGTCAGCAGGCCCTCGTGTGGCGGTGCCCGCCCCGGCCCTGGCGGGAAGGGGTGTCTTCCTCTCCCACGGGAGGAGCCCCAGCCCGCAGGCCACACTCGGCTGGCTTCCTCGTCACCGTTCCCTCCATGTCATGTCAACGTACAGGCACCCTAAGGCCAGGAAACGCCTTCTTCCCGCACCAGACGTCAGAGTCTCAGGGGCCCCCAGCGCCCTTGTGGCCTAATGGCCCAGGGACGGGACGGGCGTCCCCGCCGAGGCAGCCGGTCTGCGGTGGCACGGTGGCACTCCGTCTGAACGAGGACGTGCATGTCGGGGGCCACGCCACCTCCCAAGTCCTCCCGTCACAGCCCACGGGTCAGCCGCCCGGTCCCATAGAAGCCTGGGCAGGCGAAGCCTGCAGCTTCACGTTTGTCACACTGCTAAGCAACCGGCCAGTGGCTCCCTATCTCAGATGCACTTACAGGAGCTGCGCCTGTGGGCCTCCCCCTGGTGGGTCGTCTAGAGCAGGGTCCCCACCCCCTGGGCATGGAGCGGTACCGGTCCGTGGCCTGAGGACCCGGGCCGCACAGCAGGAGGTGAGCGAGCGAAGCTGCATCTGCATCTGCAGCCACCCCCAGCGCCGGCATCACCGCCTCAGCTCCGCCTCAGATCCTCGGGCGTTAGATTCTCATGGGAGCCCCGGTCCCTGGTGCCGTGAAGGTTGGGCACCTCTGATCTAGATTATTTTTCTTCTAAATATTTGAGATTTTTCTTTGCAATATTGCAATTTTCTTTCGAAAATGACTTTAATAAAGCATGACTTTATTAATTTGAAAAAAAAATGAAGACTCTCAAGATAGTAGAAATTAGATTTTGAAATACGTCAAAATACCACCAATCTATTAGGAATCTGTGCATGCACCATAATCTGTTCATTTCCTTTAAATTTTGTTTTGAGATTCTTCCATTTTGCTTAAAAGGTTTTAATTCCGCTGTCTGTCATCACCATGTGATTCGTAAGCACGAGGGAGAGAATCTGTAAATGCTGTTAGATTTCCAGTAATCAAACTCTGCTTTATGTTCCAGAGTCAGGAATTAGCAGAGATCTTCATATCAAATGCATTTAAAAAAAAAAAATCAGAATCATCCGAATGAGGCCAACACTGCATGAGGTAATTAAACTAGAAACAGACAGCACCTCTGTTCTGAAAAAGGTCTCTGGCTTTAAAAAGACCCCGCGGGCACCCGTGCCCCATTGTCACGGTCCAGAGCCCGTCCCAGCGCACCGATGCCCTGTCCCCCTGTCGAGGCCGGGAGGGTCCTCGGGCAATGGCTAAATGGAGCGGGAGCCCAGGACAGTGACCTCGTCAGCTCTGAAGGGGTGGCAGATTCTGCCTTCTGCCATGGGAAACTGCTCGGGGCCGAGGAGCTGCTGGGGTCGCTGAGGACACAGGGGCACAGCCCAGGGAGCTTGCGGTCAGGCATCGATGGCCTGTGGCTGGTTGTCTCCTGCTCCAGGAATGGTGAAGTTGGCTTCTGGTCTCATAGGGACCAAGGAGGACACATCCCAGACAGGCGGTGACGACGCAGGCTGGAGCCGGCCACAGTGAGTCTAGGACCCTGGACAGCGGCCCTACCTGCACGCACAGCCCAGCATCCAGCCACCCGCCAGCGGGGGACGCAGAGGGGGCTGAGGCTCTGGCCTGCACTGCCGGACCAGAGATTCCCAGTGCCGTGGAAGTGGACTCGAGAGCCGACCCGGGGGTGGACGGAGCCCGTGAGGGACCTGTCACAGACCCGCAGCGCCAGAGCCCCTCACCCACAGGAAACGCACCCCACGAGGCCGAGGTGGCAGCTGCCATGAAAGAGGCCGGGATGTGGCATTAGGGAGCAGCACAGGCGTGTGCGTGAGGCCGCGGCGCAAGGTCTGAGGCAGTAAAAAGATGAAACGATGCGTCGAAAACGTAACAAAAGCACAGGACGTTGGGACAGAACAGGCAGGTTTGAAGACGCACGAAACATTTCCCTGAGCGAAAGACGCGGCGACAAGCAGAGGCGCCCAGCACCTGAGGCTCCGGCCGAGGGGTTTGCAAGACTGTGCG